CCGAATGTGAAACATACGAGGTGTGTTCAAAAAGTAAGGTGACTTTTCAAATTTCTCGGGCAACATATTTTCGATTATCGTTTTTTTTGTTTTGTTATATTGGTACACTCTTCCCTAACATCTGTACCAAGTTTCAATGGAACATCCTCTTTTGTTTGGTTGTGAGAGGCGTAAAGTTACAAGTTGTTTTGCGAGCTCGGCGATTTTTTGCTATCGAAAAATATGGATCAAAGGATTTGCATCAAATTTTGTGTAAAAAATAAAATTAAGTGCTCTGAAACACTTGAAATGTTGACAGTGGCATACGGTGAAACTGTTCTGAGTAAAAAAAATGTGTACAAGTGGTACAAACTCTTCCAAGATGGCCGGGAAGATGCCAATGACCAGCCTCGCTCTGGACGCCCAAGCACGTCAACAACTGATGAAAACGTTCAAGCAGTGACGAAAATTGTTTTGGAAAATCGTCGAATCACTATCAGAGAAGTTGCTGAAGATGTCGGTATATCGCTTGGCTCGTGCCATGAAATTTTTCAAACGTTTTGGGTATGAGTCGTGTGTCAGCGAAGTTTGTTCCGAAATTGCTGAATTTTTGAGCAAAAGAACCGTCGCATGAGCATCGCTCAAGAGCTGTTGAATGACGTCAACGACGACCCAGATTTACTCAAAAGGGTCATAACTGGTGACGAATCATGGGTATATGGTTATGATATCGAAACCAAAGCCCAATCGTCCCAATGGAAGAGCCCAGACGAGCCAAGACCGAAAAAAGCAAAAATCGCCGAGCTCGCAAAACAACTTGTAACTTTACGCCTCTCACAACCAAACAAAAGAGGATGTTCCATTGAAACTTGGTACAGATGTTAGGGAAGAGTGTACCAATATAACAAAACAAAAAAAACGATAATCGAAAATATGTTGCCCGAGAAATTTGAAAAGTCACCTTACTTTTTGAACACACCTCGTATTGTCGATAAGTGGCTTGGATTTGAGGAATTACACATACTTAATTCATGAGTTTTCTATGCAATTGCAATGAATAGTAAGTTGGTGACATGGGTATATCAAATACCGATTAGTTTTCTTTGGAAAAGATGAGATTTTAGATAATTTAAAGGCTCCCTAACTGTATACAAACGTAAAATTCCTAAACTAGGAGTATTTGAATTACCTTTCAAATTTTTCAAGTCATATTCTATTTATTAAAGCTATCAACGTTTCAAAAACTAATTCAATAACCTAATCAATTCTTAAATACTGGTTTAGTTGAAAAATTTCTGTTACTTTCTGGACAAATCTGCAATCTGCCCGAACTTTTGACAATCCTTTTCCATTAGTTGTCATTTCGCAGCCTGCTAATCCGCTTTACATAACTTTTTGAAAAGCCTCCAGCTAATTGAGTGCAATTGTGAGACAGTCGAAAAATGAAGCAAAAGAAACTTTCTCCAGCCTGGAAGTGAAGTTTTAAATAATCAACTTTTGTCATAAATTAAATAGAACTGGCGACGGCTGCATAATCAAGAAGCCGGCAGGCGCGACCGTAAAAATTACAGCGAGAAAGCTATTAACTGTGAGTCGCTGGCGGAAGGAAGGAAGGTCTTCAGGAAGAACCTTTAGTTGCTAGGAGGGGTCGTCAGGATAATAGTTTTTAGTCCTGGTGCTGCTGCTGCAACTGCTGCGGCTGCTGCTATCCCAATGACAGCCAGTTGAGCTGGGTGTATGCAACAGTGGCAAACGGGGCAACAAAAGAATCACAAGTGGAAACTGAAAATGCCCTGTAAGCCAAATGGCCATCGTCCCGACATTGTTGTCTGCACTTTTTGCTGGTGTGCCAGCGTCTGTGTTTGTGTCTGTGGCAGAAGTTAAATGCACCTGCCACCAAGGAAGTGACTGGATGGCGTTTTCCGTAGAAGCAACATCCACACGAAATGCTGCTTTAAGGGCGCTGGAGGTTGGGAGTTTTGGCCTGAGATCACAATAAAGCGCACAACATGTCTGCGTTTTCGTTGTTGCAGGTGCTAAAAGTTAAATGCAGCAGCAGGGCCGACTTCGTAGTGCGTGAAAGCATAGCCAGTTGCTTACTGATTTCGTATGCAGAACAGGCCAACCAAGAAAAATACAGTAGATACTAGAAAAAAAGACAATATTAGGGGATAAAAGAATCTTTTTTTAAGAACGCTTACAAAAGTTGTAGTTATATTGAAACATATATTTCCAAATATGATTCCTTCCTTTCCAAAAATTAGTTCATCCCTTATTAGACTTATTAAACTTTTGAAATATTTTAGTTCTATCAAGCTTAATGTTATTTTATAAAGCCTAAAATAAGTGTTTATTGGGGTTTAGATCCTTTAAATTCCATAACACAAAATTTCAATAGTTTTTAACAGCTTAAAAGGAATATAAAGAATTTGTGGCATATTTTAAATGCCACTTATTAAATTCAAAATATATAAAAATATATTCCAGAAGCATTAAAACCCAAGATTATAAGTTTTTCCCTTTAGTTAGTATTCACCGTATCGTACGAACGAACGGACAAAGCAGACAGCGCCAAAAAGTATGCAACGAGAAACAGCCGGCGCAGGGAAATGCGCAAAGTGTGGTGAAAATAAACTTACGATTGTGTTTGTGTGAGGTGGACAGAGAAAAGTTGCGAGGAAACCGCAGGAGAGAGGGAAAACTAAGAGCATTTTTCACACTCTCTTTTGTTTATTTTGCTCTTTGAAGTATTTATTTGTGGTCGATGGTAGTGTTAAGTTTCCGGCACGTTTTATAAACAAACCAAAATTCAAAAGAGAGAGAGAGAGCAGTTGAGAGAGGAGGGAAAGAAGAGAGAGAGAGTAAGGTGGAGCTTATGTTTACCATTAACATTCAACGTTTTACCAATGTCAACAGTGCCGCTTTTTTATACACTTTTTTATGCATTTATTCCGGCTCTAATTGAGTGAAGAGCCGCTGGCCAATCGAACATTTCTCCAACGCACATAATGCGGCACGTGATAATGCAAATCTAGTGAAGTGTTAAAATACCCTGGAAACCAAAACAAACAAAACAAAAATATATACATAAAAAAAAAAAAAATCCCGGGAAAATCCTTTAAAACGCACAACAAGGCAGCTGAGTGGGGGAGTGGCAAACAAAATGGCTGCCAAACCACCACCTCCAATCCCGCCCACTTTGGGTGGCGATGATTCCGGTGCCGCTGGACCAAAACTCGCTCCCGAAATACCTCGCATCAACTCGGAATTGGCAGCCCAGGCGGCACTAAGAGGTCAGCAATTGTTGAGGAAACAAGGATCACAGGAACATCATGCGATTAATACGCTGCCAGCCCATAAAACCGGTGCACCACCCCCTTTGCCACCCACCCAGAGTCGTCCGGTACCGGCGATTCCGGCCAGGGGAGCCAGTGATCGTGCCGCACCCCCGGAAATACCACCCAAACGTCATAGTTTGAAGAGTATGCCCGATGGTCAGACGATGGTGGTTCCAGGATTACCGCCACCCATGAGGCAACCACCTCCACTGCCACGGAAACCTGCCTCCACTCAGAGTTCCGCTCAAAATTCTGCACAAAATTCCCCACTGGCGGGCATGAAGTTCAAGGATAAACCACCGCCACCTCCCGAAAAACATTCAACACTCTCAGCTGAAGGCATGGCGGCTCGACGTTGTTCGAATCCCTTTGAAATGCCGCCACCACCACCGCCACTGGTTCTCCAATCGGCCGTGGCTGCTTTGAGTGAACAGAGCTCTAAGAATGGCCTAAATCCCGTACCCTCGCCGGCGCCAACAAGAGCCAGTGAAGCGAAGAAGATCAATCAGCGATCGATTGCATCGCCCACAGAGGAGTTCGGATCGGAGGATGCACTGCGAGGAATTGAAAGTGGTTTACGGAACATGGAACGGGCTATGCAGGAGCAAATGAATCTCAGGAATATGGAGGCCGCAGTGCAAAATAATTTCGATTTAAGTTTTAAGGCCAGTCTAGCGGCTGGAACTCGACATTTGGGCGGTGGCTCGGTGAATCTTAGAACTGCCAACTATGAAAGGAATCTATCCTTGGACGAAGGAAGAGCTGGGGACTCACGGCAATCTCTGGAGGAACTGAAACAATTGAGAGCCCAGGCCCAGCAGCAATCTCTGCACAATAACTCCTCCTCATCCAGCTCAAATTCCCAGGTGGAGCAATCCATGCGTTCCACCATCGAGCACCATATGCGCTCCTTGGATCGAAATTTACCTCTGGAATTGCAATACAGTCGCCATCGTTTTCAGAATAATTTAAATGCCGTTGCTGCCGCTGCTGCTGCAGGTGGTGGTGGTAGCGCCGGAAATTCAGCCACCGGAAATGTGGTGGCAAATTCTGGAACTTCCGGCGCTCAACAACAGCCAATGCCGTTGAGCAGTGAATTTCGCGAGCAGATTCGCCAGCAATTGTTGGGCAATATACCGCCACAGGTGGTCCACAATATGGGACAATCGCCGGGTTCGGCAGCCGCTGCTGCTTTGTTGCAACATCAGGCACAGTCGAGGGCCGCCGCTGCCGCTGCTGCTGCTGCGGCCGCTGCAGCTGCTGCTGCTCAAGTAGCTGCCGGAAGTGGGGCATTGTCTCGTGAGGAGCTGCGCATGCGTAGAAGGTCATCGCATGACGAGACTCAGCTCACCCAGAACTCGAGTGGCGGCATGCAGGGTAAGGTTTTCTACCTCGTCCCTATAATTTGTCCACGAAATCTTCATTTTACTTAATTTAAACTTAATAAAATAGGTATTCTGTTATTTGTTTTATTTTGAAACTAGAAAACTAGTCACTCAGCTTAAGCTATAAAGAAATCTGCCCTGATTTAAGGAACTGTTAAACTTTAAGACGATGTTATTGAAAATAATATTTGGCATTATAGTTTTTGAAAAGTAACTTGTATTTGTTGAAAACGAAACTTATTTACTTTACATTCTTTAGTTTAACATATTTATTTCTTCTCAATTTTCGACATCGTAGAGCTGAAACAGTTTTCCCTAGCACCGCACTGTTCAGCGGACTTAGATTATATGCGTTGCTGTCTGAAAGGTAACCGAACCGAAGGCTAGTTAGTGTGTTTGTGTTGTAACTTAACCCCAACCTGCCTCCCGCACAGGGCTCAAGCTTAACCCATAACAGCCCACACACACACACACACGAACCTCTGAACCAGCCGAGCTGACAAAGCAAATTGCTAACGAAAGTTATTTATATTTCTACTAAATTGCATGGTTGGGCAATAAACCAAATAGCAAGGCGATAAACTCTGGCTAATCTTTTTTTACTTATTGACATTTAATCTGGTTTAACTTACCGTTAACTAACTAGATTTAATGTAAAATAAATTAGTAATTCATTTCATTTGCTTAACAGTGACCCGTTTGCGAGAACATTGGGATGAGACGTCGCAATGTGTCCTGCAGAGAGCTGCCCAACTTAAAAACATGCTGAGCGACTCACAGCGGTAGGTTTGAATAGCACCCTCTTTTAACACTCGACACTCGGCACTTAACTCTCTGTCACCTTGCTCAAATTAACCGCAGGTTCGAGGCCAAGCGCGTGGAGCTCGAGAAGTGGCTGGCCCGCATGGAGCAAAGAGCCGAGCGAATGGGTACCATTGCCACCACAGCGGACATCCTGGAGGCCCAGCAAAAGGAGCAGAAGGTAATGGGGGTAGTGTTTGGGTTTCCTTGTGGAAGACTCTCATTGTTTCATTCCTTTGACAGACTTTCCACGCGGAACTCCACCAGAACAAGCAACACTTTGATATATTCAACGAGCTGACGCAGAAACTGATTGCCGTTTATCCAAACGATGATACCACCAGGATCAAGAAGATGACGGAGGTTATCAATCAACGGTGAGTCAAGTGGAAAAGTAGGGATAATTAAGGGGATTTTAAGCTACATTTGATGATTACGTTTGTTTTAAGCAAAGCTATAAGCTGTTTTATATAATTTCATCTAATTTAATTACTTTAAACCACCAATTTTATTCTTGAAAATTCTTTAGAAATATGTCTTCAAAATAAGTTTTTATATTCTTTATACACTTATTGTTTTTCCGACCATTTTCCAGCTATGCCAACTTAAACAATGGAGTCATCAATCGTGGCAAGCAACTGCATGCGGCTGTGCATAGTCTTCAGTCGTTTGACCGAGCCATGGATCAGGTAACTATAATATACTAAAACATTAAATACAGTAATCTATAATTTACAAATTTATCCTTACAGTTCCTTGCTTTTCTATCGGAAACGGAAACACTTTGTGAAAACGCTGAGTCTGACATCGAGCGCAATCCATTAATGTTCAAGGTAAGTCTGGAGTTTTATCTTTGGAATCATTTATATATACCCTGCTGCTGACATAATGATATATTCATTCTGTAACAATTTAACGACACTTGACAGATTTATGCATTGTATAAAGAGAATTTTCATTTCCTTGGAAAGTTCATTGCCTTTCGCTTTTGTTGGCTTACCATCGGTGAATAAACTGCGAAAGATGATGAGCAGTCGGGGAGTACAGTGGGTGCAATTTTTGGCCACTGTTAGTTGAGTAATGAAGTTTATTTAGGGAGAGCTATAAAATGTTTAACCGGTAATAAATGACTAATATAAATATTCTTTTCGTTATAAATTTATTTGTAAATTATTCCATTTTTTTCTTTACAATTTACTAACGTGAAATTAAGTAATATTTTTTTATTTTATTTAATAAGTTCTTCTCTGGAATTTACTAACATTTCGTAAGTTTCGTAAGTGTAAGTCCATACACTTGAAAAAACTGATCTTTATTTATATTCCCATTAATACTCTTTGATATTGGTCTCCATAAAAAGTTCTTCTATAATTTTCTTAATTTCTTTTATCTATTTTGATAAGCGGAAGCAATTAGCTGGTTAAATTTAATGCAGCCGATAAAGGGCCGAGTTCGATCCACTTGAACTTGCCTATAATGATCCCAATCCCTATATAAATCGGAATTCGAAAACGGAACCATACCAAGTCTTTCCATCCAGAGCACTTAATGTCTCGATTGCAGTTGCAATCAAAATTGGCATTGTGGCCACAAATGAGTTCTGCCCACTTGCTGGATGCACTTATCAGTGACACTCATCCGAGGGTGAGGATTCCTCTGCCCGCCTTTTGTCTAGCGATTTCCCTATTTTCCAACCCACCCCTTCCATTTCCACTTACAATATTCTCGAGAGTTCAGTGTGGCGCGCTTTTCTCAAGTGATGTTGTGGCGTCTGTTTGTTTGTTTGTTTACTAGAATTGCCCGCGGCAGAGGGGCTGGTTCTACCAGTCGGTGGAGTGGTGGCTTGTGGCATCATCATCGGCCACATTTTCATTGTTCTATGTCTGCCTCATTGTTGTAATTACATTCGCCTATTTAAGATAATTATTTTAAGGCGCTTTTCTTTTCAATATTCTTGGCTTTTGTCTTCGGCGTTGAGCTTTTCGGGGTTAGAAACCCTCCTCGCCTTTAATTGCGATTCAATTATAATTATTTTATTGCTTCAATTGTTGGGGCTCAAATGCAAATTTTACGCGTCTTGAGATTAAGGCTTTAAAAAGGGTTAAGATAAATGTTCTTTTAATGGGCCGGAAGAAAAAATTTGCATTTTCCTTCGCTGCTTTTAGGGAATATGAGTATATGATCAATTTTTATATATTAAGGGGCTCTCAAAGTTTTTGATTGTGGTAATTCTAAAAGCGTAACAACTTTATTCTTTAGTAAATTTCATACTATTCGTGCATTAAAAAACTTTATTTTTATAAAATGCTTCATTAGGATTCTAATTTGTATACTCTTTTTCTAATTCTTAATATAGAAACTTATAGAGTTTTTAAAAATAAATGTTTTATTTAAAAGGCAATTGTCCTTTGAAAAGCTTTCAAGAATAGCTTTTAAGTTTGGTTCCAACACAGGATAATATTCAGGACACAGATTGTTCCCCTTATTATTTAGGTCTTTAACAATTTTGTCATTGCGCAGAAGCAGTTATTGTATTAAAAGCTTGAACTTGTTACCACTATTTCTCATGGTAATATTGGGAAGAAGAAGTCTCCACTTAAGTGTTTGGTTTGTCACTGTTATCGCCTTTAAAATTGTATGACTTTTTAGCTATCGAAGTATAACGACATAAAATCTTAGTTTTGAAATAACATTTTTGTAGAAATTTGTTTTAATTTATTAAAATAAAAGATTAATGTGATATATAGCTATGTCAAAAGTTATTAAAAGTTAAAAAAAACCGAACATTAATAATTTGTATATGTAAAATTCCGTGGAATGTTACTGCTTACAACAAACTAAATTATTAATGCAAAAGTAAGAGCTTCCAAGAGTCGGTTATGCGTTTTATTTTTCTTTGTTTTTGTTTATTTTGCCGGTAGGTAATAACGGTATCAACCGGCTGTTTTTCCGCTCTCCCGAGGTGCCAAATACACTCTCCACAAGACTCTCTCTGGGTCTCCAAACTTCTCGGGGGCCGCTCTGTTGTCGTTTTTGCTCTCTGTTGTTGTTATTATCTCGGGAAATGGCCGACTCCCACATGTGGAAAATGCGACCATTCGGTCGACGAAGTTCGAACGAACGAACTTTGGTTATTTCGGATTCCATTCCGGATTCTGTCGCTACCTCTGCCTCAGTCAACTTCGCTGCCGGCGTCAATTGTGGATGCTGGCGTCGAGTTTTCAGTTTCGGATTTCAGTTCGTGTTTTGAGATGCGCCCGGTCGCGCGTGTTTAACGGAAAACGCCAAAGCGTCAGAACTCTTTTTAACCGGTTCCGGTTTTAATGAACATTATAAATTCATTCTGCCGAAAATCAAAATAAAAGTAAATTAAAAAAAAGTAAAAATGAGAAAAAAAAAATGATATTTAAAGATTACAAAAAGGGTTTTAAAAAAAAAGAAAAAGAAATGATACAAAAACATACGTTGCCTACTTTGTGGCGTGCATTGCACTCTCACCAACACAAGCAAATAAATGCTGGCACTCACACACATACAGAGGCATAACAACATTGCACACATGCAAATTGAATTCGCCATGCAACAATTAAACACAAATCTCGGCTCAAAGCAAATGGCGGAAAAGGCGTCACAGCCGTCGCCATTTTGTATGCCAGTGTGTGTGTGTGCCTGTGTATGTGAGCGAGTGCATGTGCACTGCTCGTATATGTGTGTGTGCCTGTGCATTTTAAAGTGAAATGTGCATTAATTATGCACACATATTTCACTCAACCACATATACAATGACCCTGTGCATCTGTGTGCGTTTCGCGCAAAGTGAAATTGAAATTTTGTGTGGAAATTTCGGAAAATTTCTACCCGCTCGGCAATCATAATCGCCTTAAGAATTGTTTTAGTGCCAATTAAATCTACAAAAAACTGCTATGGCATCATAGACAAATGGAATTACAAAACGAAATGAAAACGAAAAGAGCTTAACTTGAAAAATGCATAATATTTTTGAAATGCCAAAAAAGTGTTTGTTTTTAAAATGTTGTGGAGAGTGTAATAAAATGATAAAAGGGGTGTTTAGGGTACAAGCTTAAAGTGTTTGCTAAAAAGGTTTAGATAAGATACTTTTCAAAAGCTTCAACGTTTTAATTCCTTTTGATGGTAGGAACTATCTGAGCTGAACTTTAATCTAAAAGATATTCTTAGGAAGCACCTAAATTCTTAAATGTTCTTTAGAACTAATTAGAGGGAAGTCTGATCATTGAAAAACTACCTAAAAGTAATAATTTTTTAATCGTACTCAAACCAATTAATAAGAAAATCTATTTAGTCAGTTGAAAGACTTCCAATGCTTTCCCAAAAATTTCGAAATCATTATGTCTTAGCCGCATTCTTCACCTTCTAATCGCCTAAACATGTAAATTACCCAACAAATTTACCATATGTTCCGAAGTACAGAAACTTGCGCAATTCCATACAAATAAAGATAACTAAATTGTCATAGTTTATTATCATCTCGGCGAAGTCTTCAGGTGTCATTCTTATTTTTTGTGCTGTAACTCAGCCTTAACCCAGATAATTATCTACTTAAAAGTCTCAAGACTTTCAAACGGTCTTCGAGCCAAAAAAAAAGTAACCCAAGCCAACGTAGGCTCTCAATGATTTACACAGAAGCTGGAATACATGGAAATCTTGAAAAACTTTCAATACTCTTGGGGGGAAGTGCCTGCCGACCACATAAGATCTAAGACGTGTTAACACGATTTAGCATAGAAAAAACAAGATTATGGGCTATAGGAGAAAAGGGCCAAAGCCGATTATTTATCAAATGACAACACTATCGAGTAGGGGAAATGCTCATTCATGACAACATTTCCACACTTTCGAGACGGGGAAACCAGACTCTGGGTGTGGGAGACGACATTGGTCAACACATCTCAAACTCAAACTCAAACTCGAGCCAAACAACAAATGTCAACCCGCCGTTTCCGAATGCTTGTCAAGTCTCTGTGTGTGTTTTTTTTCATGAGACTTTACCTGTTGAGGCCCAGAAACTGAAACAGAAACAAAAGCAGCGGCTGAGCAACAAGTAACCAGAAACAAAACAAAGCAGAGAAAAAAAAGATACAAAAACAAGTTAACAACAAATAACAGCAGAATGCGTAGGCTTTGAAGTTTGTTTGTTAGAAGCACTTGAAATTGTCTGACCGATTGTCTGATGTTGATGCTGCGTGGGTTCCCCGAAAAGTAGTTTGATTAGTGGCGCAACTCGTGATTTTGGCCAGCAGCTAGCTTGAGCATTAATTGTCTATTTAGTTAAAAATTATAATCACCGAATCTGATTTTGTTGATTTTTGTAGGTTGCCATCTAAATATTTTCATTTATTTTTTTGTTTTTACGCTGCATTGGAAACGCTTTTAAGTTTGTTGCCCGTTTTATGAATATTTAAATGAGGCCTTTTAAACTTTGTGGGTGTTGAGCATGGGCTATAAAAAGTTTTAAGCGGAAAATTGTTTTAAAGAACAGGTCGTTAAATGTTGTAAGTGTTTGTTTATGCTTAAATTGTTTTTTGAAAATATTCGTACCGTTAAACAATATTATTTTTGAAAGCTAAAAGAATGAAAATAAAATAATATTTTTAATATATTTTAAAGTGAAATTGGTTTAAGCTTATCTGTAGGTGTTTTAACATGAAACTCAAAATAAAAGTTCCTAAAATACTTCATAAACAAAACTCCAAAAAAATAAAACATTTTTCACCGAACGTAACTCCAAAAAACTACACAGTTTTCCACCAAACTGTTAATTTTCATTTTGTTAAAAACCCATTACCATTTGAAA